ACACACACCCACACACACGCAGATATCTCGTGAAATCCTGCAGGAAATGTCCTCTCCGTGATAATGTAAAGAGGATATATCCTCCGAAAATCCCTAACGGCGTAACTTTCGATCGATTACTGTAGTCGTGTGTGTGTGTCGTCATGCCCGCGCGCATTATGCTTGGCTTGGCGGGCCTCGAAACGGAGCTCATAGGCAGGCAGCAGCTCATCCCGGCATGCAATGCGCCCGATTACTCGTGTATAAACAGACATCTCGTCCTCTTTACATTTTCACGGAGAGAACATTTCCTGCAGGATTTCACGAGATATCTCTGGCGGGAGTAGGTAAGAACAAAGGACAGAGTTATAATTCGAACAAGTGAACATTTAGCTACACATAGATACCAAGATGGAGGCTGTTTGGTGTGTTTCTGTTCTGTAATCGTGTGAAATGAAGCGAGCGTCGAGCGAATTTTGCGATTACGCTTTCCTACCTGCTCTCTTATTCATGTTGTTTGTGCGCAGGGCGGGCGTGCAGTGTACTTGTGTGTTGCAGATGAGCATTTGATCGACATTTACGGGTAATTATCGGCAATAATAGGCGAAATAGAGTAGAGAAGCATTAAGACTTTGGTAGTAAATACATTTCGTGTTTACATTATATTTTTTTGAGACGTTCCAAGTGCCTGTGCAACCACCAGTCTGCTTTATTCACAAAGACCCCGCAAGCTGCTACAGTGCATACGTTTTTGTTTCTGTTTCGTGTTAGTGTTACGGTGACGTCAGAGCAGTGAGAGCGGCAGGGTTATACACTACATTGCCGTTAACTTCCTGTAAATACCGTTCAAATCACAGGCACTTGGAGCGTTTCAATAAAATATAATGCTAAATAAATACGAAATATATTTACTACCAAAGTCTTAATGTTTCTATACTCTCTTTCACCTATTATTGCCGACAATTTCCTCTAAATGCCGTCCAAATGCTCATCTGCAACAAACACTGGCTGCCGCCATTGCTGCTTCTGCACGCTGACACATAAATAGATTTCGTATTTATTTAGCATTATATTTTATTGAAATGCTCCAGGTGCCTGTGGTTCAAATGCTCCTCTGCAACACACAAGTACACCGCACGCACGCCGCTGTGCATAAACAACAATAAAAGACGTTTTCCCACCGATAGATGGCGCCACTATGCTATATTCAAAGTGCTTATAGCGACTGAACATATATATATATCAGAAGTAGATAATAGTGAAGAAGTGTGACTTCAATAAACAAGGGAAATTCGTCATTTACTAGCCTTAGAATACCTACGATTTACTACGCGTAACTCAACCAACTTGAGCTCAAATCGTACACAGTATATTTGCCTAGCATCGTGCGAAATCGTTTCCTGTTGCCAGCAAACTAAATGTATAAACCACCTAACTTGAAACAAAAGGCAGCTACTAGCGACTATTGCGCACTCTTGCTCCCTGTGGCTCGCTAGAAGCTGCCTTTTATTTCAAGTTAGGCTGTTTATACATTCGGTTTGCTGGCAAATGAATGGATAATCGTGTCGTACATTTTAGTCTGTATCTCCGGATTGCGGGTGTATACGAGGAAACGATTTCGCACGATGCTAGGCAAATATACTGTGTACGATTTGAGCTCAAGTTGGTTGAGTTACGCGTAGTAAATCGTAGGTATTCTAAGGCTAATAAATGACGAATTTCCCTTGTTTATTGAAGTCACACTCCTTCCCTATTATCTACTTCTGATATATATATATAACTCTTTTTCCAACTTTATGATAACCATATATCTGAAAGTAACTAACCCCTTTTAAGATGACCTTACGATATCTTTCTATATCTCTCTTTGTATCATGGTCATTGTTCTGACAATAGTGCATAAATCTATGTTATATGCTCATAGAACATACAACAAACCCAATTAGTTCTCAATTGTAGTTTATCTAGGATATACGAAATTTACCCGGTCGCTCTAATAATTACAATGCAATAAATCTACATTACAGTTACCATCATTTTTTAGACATTGAGAAGACCATATATATCTGCTGAATATGCCCACCATACAGGGACTATAATATATTTTTCCCAGTTTTGACAATATAACCAACCTATGATTTAAATCATACTAATATTCTAAAATGTTAAGTGAGCATGGCCTATATCCGATGCTCTTCTATATTATTGTACTGATGTGATGTTATGGATTCTTGATGTATAATTGATGTGAAAATGGGTGAAATAGTATTCAAAAATAGTTAAAAAGTGAACAGACACGGATATGAATGATGTCATTTTTCCTCGGGTATATTTCAAAATAAATGCTTAATAACGGATCAACGTTTATTCTCTTGTGGAATTCTTGCTAAGGAGTGTCATCTATAACTTCATCACAAGCACTGTGTGTGTGTGTGTGCGTGCGTGCGTGCGTGCGTGCGTGCGTTCACGATATAAATGTATGAGCTCGGTGAGCGGCGGGGTTTTATATAGGTTTAACTGTGGTTTTGCAACGCTACATTAGGCTAGTAGTTTCGCATGAGGTTAGTTTTTGCTTAAAATTTAAACAAAATGCGAATAAGTAGTTTAAAGTGATAGCAACTGTTGAGCATAGATTAGAACAGTCGCGTTTGGTCATGCAATACAGTGACGTGCAACATGTATTGAAGCTGGTTTCAGCATCGGCTTATTTTCTTCTCCGGTTTCGCGGCAAACGGTAAAGTATTCTGATCGACCCACCCACCTGGAGTTGTTGACAGTTAACTCCAGCCAACATTAAGCAACAGCGTCAACGTCAAGCGGTTTACATTGCGATGTGGGCACCCTGAAAACGCTGCTTGGTAGTGAAGTGCCACAAAGTCGAGAAATTGGCGTGCACGCGTGAGAAACAGATATAAACGGGTCCAGGTTAACCGACTTAACAATACGAATGCATTCCAAGGGGCCGTGGGTATCTGCGTTAGACGGTTAGGACTATTATTATTATTTTTTATTTTTTTATTTTTTTATTTTTTTATTATCCCATGCATTTCCGCATTCCCATGAGAATGGGGTGAGAAGATGAGGATGGCATAAGATACATTACATATTATTACATCGTCATCATATAATACGCCGTAATGATGGCACAAATATAACTAGACAACTCGCATATTTTCGCGTGAAGTGGTGATTATGTAAGCTATACCCGCCCAGACGCTTCCGTACTATGGCTGCCGTAATCCTGCATGGCTCTCGACTCATCAATTCTAGGCCTAGGGTGAAACCTGATCCTTCCCGTAAGAACTGACTCCTAGGTGTAAGATTATTATCCCGCTATAACTTATGTTATTATAAAATATTTTCTGATACGAAATCTCTAGATCTACCATGCTCCTGGTTTCACTCAAAGGAAAATTGTCATATTGCCTGCGCACAAGCATCTACTATATAATAGTAGAAAGAGCCGAAGTGTCGTTTTACGTATCTCCTCCGAAACCGTGCCGCGTGT